TTAAGAGAGCTGCAAGTACATACAATTAAGGATCTGGAGCATCAATTCTGATCTATATTGAAATTAAATTTTAGAATGATTATTATCAACCCACTTTATTGGCAACAAAATAGCATATCTATAAAATTTCATTTAATCATTTCTACAAGTTTCCAAACTATAGAATAAAAATACATAAATTACTCTTTCTTCTTTGATCCTGTATAGGTACTGATAAATATTGAACTGCGTATACAACACACACAAACTGTTTCATTAATAATGCAATCCTTTTTTGTTTAATTTATAATTTCAAGTGTGTAGTATGAAATATTATTAAATACTACTCATGTCCACATAGTTTCCAACTTTATCCCCACCTGAAAACTTTAGAAGTTTAAAATATCAAAAATGGAATATTAATTTTGATAACTGTTGGAAATTGTTTATATTTGTACACCCTTTGGGAGACTAGGAATATACGAGTCTTCAAGAACTACACCAATAACGATAAAAGTATAATTCATCGTAGACCTATTATAAATTTTTTAAATTTTCCAAGAAGAACAATGACTTTTATAAAAATATTAACAAAATGGACAAAACGCCTAAGCAAGTATTTTAAAAGATCAAAATTGATTTAAAACGAAAAATTAAAATCGTGAGAAGCATCTAAAAACTAAACACGTGTCACATATTTAAATTAAATTCACCCAACAGACAGGAAGGTGTCTATAAAAAAATTTAAGAACAAGTTAACCCCAAGGTGAATTATTGGCATTAGTAGCACGAAGATGACTCCCGCAGTTTTGATAAGACACGAAATTATTAGGGATATAGGACTTTGGTTTAATTCAGTTTTACCATTGTGAGTTCACTTTTTAGAACGTTAAAAACACTAAGTCTTATAATAGGAAACTGTAAATCATTTTCAAATGAAAAAGCATGAAGGACTTATATTAAGCACTCGTCTGGTTAGAATGTTGCTCTATTACGTTCTGTCCATTATATAATATACATTATATCTGTTTGGAATCTGGTCAGTGAAAATTTATTAAATATTTGCATTTGAAAGCTCACGGAAAATATCCAGTAAGGGGTTACGAGCAAAAACTCCTGTTAAGTGTTCATAATATACACTCTCTCAACATTGAAGAATAATATCTGCCCTAATAATTGTTTTCAGTTTATTACATCATAACGTCACAAACCCTGTCATTTTGTAAATTTGTAAATTTTAGAGTGATTCAAACATTAAAAAAATAACAATTTTACTGTAGTGGTAAAATCATGCATTTAAGTTATTACAACAAAATATAATAACATATCAGATCAGTGTATCCATTCATTTGCATATCTCCGTTATTCTATGATGGATCTTGGTAGGTTTAATTCAGTATGACGTATGCACAGACGTGAAAAGAAAAAACTGTTTCGTAACAATCTGTTACTCCATATTGATAGTCAGCCAGTCCATTTTAGTCTATGCCGCAAGCGCAGTCATGTATGTTTTTTAGTCTCTTTATACATTGTTATGAATTTATGCAGAAGAAGAAGAATAAGAAGAAGAATAAGAAGAATAAGAAGAATAAGAAGAATAAGAAGAATATGAAGACTAATAAGACTAATAAGACTAATAAGACTAATAAGACTAATAAGACTAATAAGACTAATAAGACTAATAAGACTAATAAGACTAATAAGACTAATAAGACTAATAAGACTAATAAGACTAATAAGACTAATAAGACTAATAAGACTAATAAGACTAATAAGACTAATAAGACTAATAAGACTAATAAGACTAATAAGACTAATAAGACTAATAAGACTAATAAGACTAATAAGACTAATAAGACTAATAAGACTAATAAGACTAATAAGACTAATAAGACTAATAAGACTAATAAGACTAATAAGACTAATAAGACTAATAAGACTAATAAGACTAATAAGACTAATAAGACTAATAAGACTAATAAGACTAATAAGACTAATAAGACTAATAAGACTAATAAGACTAATAAGACTAATAAGACTAATAAGACTAATAAGACTAATAAGACTAATAAGACTAATAAGACTAATAAGACTAATAAGACTAATAAGACTAATAAGACTAATAAGACTAATAAGACTAATAAGACTAATAAGACTAATAAGACTAATAAGACTAATAAGACTAATAAGACTAATAAGACTAATAAGACTAATAAGACTAATAAGACTAATAAGACTAATAAGACTAATAAGACTAATAAGACTAATAAGACTAATAAGACTAATAAGACTAATAAGACTAATAAGACTAATAAGACTAATAAGACTAATAAGACTAATAAGACTAATAAGACTAATAAGACTAATAAGACTAATAAGACTAATAAGACTAATAAGACTAATAAGACTAATAAGACTAATAAGACTAATAAGACTAATAAGACTAATAAGACTAATAAGACTAATAAGACTAATAAGACTAATAAGACTAATAAGACTAATAAGACTAATAAGACTAATAAGACTAATAAGACTAATAAGACTAATAAGACTAATAAGACTAATAAGACTAATAAGACTAATAAGACTAATAAGACTAATAAGACTAATAAGACTAATAAGACTAATAAGACTAATAAGACTAATAAGACTAATAAGACTAATAAGACTAATAAGACTAATAAGACTAATAAGACTAATAAGACTAATAAGACTAATAAGACTAATAAGACTAATAAGACTAATAAGACTAATAAGACTAATAAGACTAATAAGACTAATAAGACTAATAAGACTAATAAGACTAATAAGACTAATAAGACTAATAAGACTAATAAGACTAATAAGACTAATAAGACTAATAAGACTAATAAGACTAATAAGACTAATAAGACTAATAAGACTAATAAGACTAATAAGACTAATAAGACTAATAAGACTAATAAGACTAATAAGACTAATAAGACTAATAAGACTAATAAGACTAATAAGACTAATAAGACTAATAAGACTAATAAGACTAATAAGACTAATAAGACTAATAAGACTAATAAGACTAATAAGACTAATAAGACTAATAAGACTAATAAGACTAATAAGACTAATAAGACTAATAAGACTAATAAGACTAATAAGACTAATAAGACTAATAAGACTAATAAGACTAATAAGACTAATAAGACTAATAAGACTAATAAGACTAATAAGACTAATAAGACTAATAAGACTAATAAGACTAATAAGACTAATAAGACTAATAAGACTAATAAGACTAATAAGACTAATAAGACTAATAAGACTAATAAGANAGAATAAGAATAAGAATAAGAATAAGAATAAGAATAAGAATAAGAATAAGAATAAGAATAAGAATAAGAATAAGAATAAGAATAAGAATAAGAAGGTAAGGACCTTATATTGTTTAAATATACCTTTGCATGACTGAGTACTTAAAATGCCTGTGATACCCCTTAAAACTCGCTTCGGTGCAATCAACACATTTGAGGCTAATACCGAATTACCCCAAAAACAGACACCATACCTAAGTCGAGACTCAACCTGGGCGTAATACAGACAAAGAAGATGTTCTATATGAGGAACTGTTCTGATATTTCTAAACAAATAGGTAACAGATGACAATTTAGATATTAGACTTTGACAGTGATATTTCCAATTGAGGTTTTCGTCTAAATACAGGTGTAAGCCCAGAAATTTTACGTAAGTATTATCACTACTAGTCAACGAAAAATCATTAATATCAAAGCTTAAGTTTTTACAATTAATAGCACGACTCGTATGAAAACGGAGTACTTGAGTTTTAGCAACATAAATTCTGGGAAAACAATTTATTCAAATTATCTAATAAAATATGATAATATTGCATTAATATTTGATCCGACTTATTAAACAAAACCAAAGATGTATCATCGGCATACATAGTAAAGTGAGCATTGGTTGAAATAGTGTCAATATAGTTTACATATAATAAAAATAACACAGGACCCAAAATTGATCCCTGTGGGACTCCCATCTTAACAGCGGCATACTCTGACTTATATGTTACATAAGCATTATTCTGATTATTATAACTGATTTTTTCCTCTCCTCAAGAAAAGTCCAGATCCAAATTAGTGCTAATCCGCGAATACCCATATTTTGTAATTTAGATAATAACAGTGCATGGTTTACACAGTCGAATGTCCTACTGACGTTGCAAAAAAACCCAACTGGACACTCTTCCAGAGCCATCAATATATTATCATATAAAGAGAGCATAGCGGTTGTGGTAGACATACCTACACGAAATCCATGTTGATTTTTTGTAAGTATATGATATTTCTTAAAATAAAAATTAACTTCATATTTTCAAAAGTAAGAAGGGATTATAGTAAATTTCATTTCTTAGCCGTTCTTGACTTAATTTTGCTTACTCTTATGATGGTACATGCGGAACAGGGTTTTTTGACTGAAATTCCAAGTAACCACCTTAAGAACAAGGTCTGTGTAATCACATTGTAGTTGTTTTAACCACCTTGCGCACATTTTAAAAATTTTATTTTGGGGCATGGGTGTGTTGACCGTAAGTCAAATATTTTTTCCTCGAAATATAGCTATTTCAGTAGAAATTTTTTGTCTGGAACCGTAAGGCAATCAGAAACTCATATCGTTTTATTTAATAAATCTATTCACTGAAAAGGTATTTTCAAAAAGAGAGGTTTATATGTCCCTCCGTACGCTGCAATTGATGCAATGGATGAGATGTTTCAAGATGATTTTCATTACTTTCTTCATCCTTAAAACATGTATCAAATTTGAAGATATGAAAAACCATTTCAAGTATTTTTAGACTAAAATAAATCGATTTGAATTTTAATTATTTTTACTTCAAGAATCTTCGGTTGCTTTTTTAATTTTTTAAACCTAAATGTAATTAAATAATAAATAACATAATTGACAAGAACTTATCAGTAAATCCGTGCTGGTACTGAAACGGAAAAGAGATAAAAAGGATATAAACTCACCCTGTGAATCTGCAGCACATACATAAATCACAATTTTTCTACTTCTAATAGCAGTCTTAGCTTGGGCAACTCTTCCCATGATAAAATTTTGCAAGTGCTCAGAAAGGCTTGTGACTTCCTTAGGAACATTTCCTCCGAAAAATTTGTCAAATTCCTTCGGACTCTGATATCCAGGTGGTGAACTTAGCGACATCGAATCTACAAAAAAAAATATATAAAACTTATTTTGTTCAGAGAAATTCTAAACATTTCAAAAATCTAAAATTTTGCGAATTTTACAGGGCGTTGAAACTATATTGCGGCATACTCAAAATATTTCCTTCTGTCAATATAAGAAAAAAATAAGCCAAATATATTTTCTTAAAACGATTTGTAAGGGTTTTTTAATCCTTCCAGCTCCTACTTAGAGGTTACCTGCATGTAAAATTTTAATAGAAACTAACCAATGGCGTAGGAGGTAGAAGAATCTAAAGTAAGAATTACTAGATCAGTGTATGTTTTGACCCTAACATCAAGACACTTCTCTGGAAAGGGGTTTTCGAGATTTCAAAGTAACTTGAGTAGTCACTGACTGGAAAACCATTGCACCATAACTCCATAACCTCATATATTCATAGCCTAGTAATCCCATAACTCCATACGACTTATAACACGAGATGTGCGAGAATGTAGAATTATTGTAGGAAAATGGATTTCATACATTAGGGATCCGAAACTACATAATTATGGGTTGGCAGGCTTCCCTAACCCCATAATCCCGTAACCTTATTGTGTGGGAAGATGTACAACCACGCAAATCTGTGGGGACATGGATATCAAGGATCCGAAACTACATGACTGTATTTATCGTAACTTCGTAAACGCCATAACTTCATAAGCCTCCATAACTCTGGGTGTGTGAAGACCTATAACCAAGAAACTCTGCGGAATTGGGTCTGTAGTTCTGGTATAACTCCGTAATCCTTTAACCAGGGGTATGCAAGCTCCTTTAAACCCATGATCTTGCATATACAGATTTGTGTGACGAAATCACTGGGCAATTTTTCTTTGTATCTACATTGAGAAAAAAGTAACAGATCTTCCTTGACTATACAAACAATTTTAATGAGTTTTTACGATCAAAATTCTTCAAATATTATGTTGTGGGGTTAAAGGGTAACAGGGTTATGAGGTTATAGGGTTATAGGAAACCATGAATTTAGCTAGTCCAAATACTATCGGATACAGTGGTCTAGCCCCCCCTTTTTTTTGTTGTGCAGTAAAACTTTTGTATCTGTTGCCCGTTCGACACTGATCATAGGGATTTATTTCACTCATACTCTGGACATGTCTCTTAAAGAACATTTCCTAAAAATTTTGGCCCATATAATTTTTTTCCAGGTACTGAAGAAAAAGTAATAAAAGGGTAGTATCGACTTTTAATAGTGAACTATTTAAAAAATTCAAAAGACACAATAAGTTTTTTTTTGAAATAGTGTAGGAAATATGCTACTAATTAGTTTTTGTAAAAAAACATAAAAAGCTAGAATATGAAGTCTACATCTTTTTTATTTTTTTTTCGAAAGTGATAAATAAATTGTTTCATGTTACTTCTTTAAAAAATCTTACGGCCCATAGAAATAACTTGAAGACAATTTGGTTTACAAAGATTTCGAACATTTTTTAAAATGCAAATAACTAACAAAATTATTTTTTTTTACTCAATAATAATTTATCCCGTGTTTGTAATTTAAGCATAATTTTCAGATTTATATGCTGTCACATTTATTATTGTCACATTTTTTAAGATTTAATCAATGATGTTACCGTAATAGAACGAGCATCAAAGATTATATACTTATTTTCATTTGAATATTTAATTCATTTGGCATTTGCTCAAGATAAATCTATAAGGAAACATAAATCACTACTTAAAGTGGTTTTTCGAGATGTTAACGTTGTGGCCCATGTATATGCTCGCTGTCAATTACAGACTTACATTGCATTTTCCTAACCTTAGCTAGGAATCTTGGCAAGCTGTGTGTGGGAAGACCTGCAATCAAAACCTTTGAGTTCGCACTGATGTTTGTTTCGGTTTTTGTTGTTGGCTTTAAAGTTGTTAAGGACGCAACCGCTTCTCAGACCATGGAGATCGTCTCCAAAGTGGCCTCTGTGACTGGTCCCATCTAATGCTTTCAAATGTTTCGCCGTTCTTCACTGCCTGCATCTTCAGTGATGACTCTACAAAAGCTTCGCCGCGACTGAGTGGCATGACTGAAGATGCTGCACTATTAAGAACAACGAAATGTTTGGAAACATTAGATGTGACTAAGCCAGTACGGGACGTTTCAGAGGACTACCATTTCTGAGGAGCAGTTCCGCTTTACAGCTAGCAACAAGAACCGAAATGAACATTAGAGTAGGCTTAGGGTTTCTAATAGCTGCTCCGCCCCCCCACAGAGCCTAGCCTGAGAATAACAAGGGCAGCTAACAATTTTGCCAGTTAAGGCTAAGGCAATTCTGAACATAGCAAGAAAGTGGTAAAGTGACAGTTTGTCGTATATTTCTTTGAAAATATAATGAAATCATTTTCTACAGGGTGTCCCTAAATATAACAGATAACCTAGTTTTTTTCAAATAATTTGAAAACTGTTTTTCTTAGAAACTTCAAATTTGGTACACATATTTTTTTATATAAGGGCAAGGTAAATATAGAATTTGGAGAGAATACATATACAGGATGTTCTCTTTCTAGTGCCTGTGTGCCATTGGCTATCCCGTAACTTTTTGTATGTACGCCAATGACGACAGAATTTATATGCGAAATGCGAATTTTACTCGAAATCCATAAACGATACCGAAATTTTGTAAGAGCAAAAAAATCTTATAAAATAGTGCTTATTTTAAAAAATATAAATTCTGTCGTCATTGGCATACACACAAAAAAGTTACGGGATAGCCAGTGGCTCACAGGCACTAGAAATAGAACATCCTGTATATGTATTCTCTCCAAATTCTATATTTACCTTGCCCTTGTATAAAAAAATAAGTGCACCAAATTTTAAGTTTCTAAGAAAAATAGTTTTCAAATTATTGGAAAAAAATAGGTAATCTATTCTATATTTAGAAGGCTATATCTCAGTAGGCGCGCACTTTTGTATATATGTAAGTTAGGCTAAATAGTCTTATTTTCATCCAAGGAACCTGTGGTCAAGCGTTGTCCATCCTTTTCAGAGACACCCTGTATATAATGCTGACAACTCCAAAACATCCAATGAAAATAAATGAAATGAAATGAAATCCCTTTTCAGATTAATAATACTATTTTACCGGGTAATACTGAAAATGGTACACAAACAGACTAGTACAATAATTTTTACCATTATCAACGTTATCAATTAATTTTTACCAAAATTTTTTATTTTCAAATGAGACATTTGTATTTTTAATCACATATACCAAATTAAACAGTAAGGCCTTTATTACACACATTATATTTCTAGGTACTGTTATTAGGTACTAAATTACTCCTATAATTACTATTGAACTAAACCCTACCGGCTAAAATATAATGTAATACAATAATTGTCAGTACAAATATCCATTAAAAACAAATTCACGTTTTTGAAACAATTGGCAACAAACATTCTTAAATAACTGAAAATGCAAAAATAAATGCAAAAATTAGGTTTACTTCTTTATTTATAAAATAATTTCAATTTTGAAAATACTTTTGACTAATTTCAGTCTTGACATTTTTTTTGAGTAGTAAACAATCGGCAACAAAAATTCTTAAATAACTTTGAACATGCAAAAATAAATGCAAAAATTAGGTTTACTTCTTTATTTATAAAATAATTTCAATTTTGAAAATACTGTTGACTAATTTCAGTGTTGACATTCTTTTAGGAAGTTCTTTATCATCTAAAACTAGTTTCTAAACAATCTCGACTCATTTGTGTCTGATCATTTGATATACATTTGTGTCAGCTAGAGCCTTGTCAGATCATTGCGAGAAACCTACATAGATCAGTTTAGTATAGGGTTTCTGGTCGAGACTTCTCGAAGCGAGAATTCCCGGGAAATCTGACCTTACTCGAGACGAGAAAAAAGTGTCGAGAAATCGAGAAATTTAAAAATCACGCGCGTCTTAAGTTCTTGACTGGAATTCGTTTCGTTCATGCGTTCAACTCGTTTCTCGACAAATAACTATTAAGTTTTATGTTTTTAAGGCTTTAGTTTACTTTGATGATTCTTATTTTTTTAATGTACAGGGTGATTCACTATATTTTGAAAATGATAGTAGAAAAACAAATGAAGTTCATACAAAATGGCCGCGGATGTTAACTTTGTTAATTTAAATGGAACACCCTGTATATTTTTACATATTTGAAATCCCATTCATTTTT